CAAATATCAAGAAACTGTTCATGCTTTAGTGTCATATATGGGGGGATGTCTCTGACTTAAAAAATGCCCCCCTATACCTGACCCGGACTGTGCCAGCGCAGAGCCGGGGTTTTGAGGAGATTCCCCTCACAGGGGAGAGATGCGATCCCACGAGCACACAGTGAGACCGTTACAAAAGGGGGGAGAACTAGGAGCAACACACCCCAAAACGCTCCTTGCCCTGCAGAGGAGACGGGGCCGCCGCCAGCACCGCGGCCCGGGGAGAGGCTGAGCCCGGGAGGGTGAAGCTTTCTGTGCTACTTAAGCCCAGCACTAGTAGCTCGCAGGGGTCCAGAGCAGAGCATCCCTGGTGAGGGACCTTTACTACAAACCCACGACCCTCTCTCCTCGCCGCCCGGGGAGCCGGTACCCGACCCGCGGCACCGTGTGGGGAACACGAACAGCCACCGCAGGGACAGGTGAGGGAGGCTCTGCTGGGATGGGATCTCACCCCGGCAGCCATTAACCCCCGCGGCTTTAGCAAGACCAGGAACACTCCGCTTTCCTCACAGCATTGGGAAATTGGATCCGAACCCAGAGCGGGTTCGAGCACCGTCCGTCCGCCCCCGCCGCCGTCGGGTAACGCCGTACGGGCACCGGAGCTCCACGGACAAGACGAGGGTATTTTAAAGGTCTGTGCTACCCCCCAACCCCACGGGGAGTGGGGACAGGGACGTGTGCGAGGAAGAGGAGGATACCGCCCTTCCCACGGGATTACAAGGGAGATGTTATTCGTCTCCCAGGCAGGATTCAGGCACGCGTTGCCTGCCCCCCGTCCCCCCAAACCTGCCCTCCCTAGGGCGGCGTGCCCCGCCTGCGCAGGGCTGGCTGCCAGTCCAGCCCCAACAGCCGAGCCCCCGCAAGGCCGAGCCTTCCGCCCTCAAAAACCCGCGTCGTCCACCGGCCGCGTTTGGGCAGTTGAACGTTTCCAGCTTCATTCAGCCCCCCTCCCTCCGAGTCCGGCCAAGAATCACCCAGCTCCTGCCGCCAGCACAGCGCTCGCAGCTGGACTCACTCGGACCCGGCCTTGCTTTTATCCCTTTTTTTTTTCTTTGCCAAGCCCTCAAGTAAATTATCAGGTGGATGATAACTAGTACACTGCCCCAATAAACCTGTGAGCATTTCAAAGCAAGGTAACAAGCGCTGGGGCACAGACGCTGCCCTGTGCTAATTTAAAGGGAAAATCTAATTACTCATTTCCATCTCTGCTCCCAGCAGAGGCGGTACCACGGGGTGAGCGTGGGGATGTGAAACTCCACCGATGCAAACGCAGCTGAAGCCACACTAAGCCAGCGGCTGGGGCCACCCCCGAGCCAGCACAGAAACAAACCCCTTTGCAGACACGCTCTCACCGCCGTTTCCCTCCGCTGCAGCGACTCTCACGCAGAAACACATTTTGCCATGCTGAGAGCTGATGACACAGCTCGCCCGCCTGAGCTTTAGGTGGTGTCTACCTGCTCTACAGGGACAGTTAATCTCCTTTTATGAGGTTAATTCAACAGAAAAATTATTTTTTATTGAATCTTTCTCAAACAAACCTTTCCACCTCTGCTGTATTCCTAAACACTCTCCTGTCTCCACTTCAAAGCACGTTTTCTGCCTGTATTTAAGCAGAGCTTCCGAGCACACGCCGCATTTCTCTGCCCATACATCGAGCAGTCCCAGCTCGCTCTGCCCAGCCCATTCCCCATCCATCTGGCTGACGGCGGAACAAGGCACAGGCACAATTTTATCTCGACCCTGCGACGGGTCCGTGCTCCAGGCGCAGCGTCCTGATTCCCGCGCACTTACAGCGGCCGAGGGAAGGGGGTAACGGATGCAGGCTGCAGGGAGATAAAGGCAATCGGCCTTAAGGGGACGGCGGGGAATACCGGGAGATTAGCGCTGAATTTCTGGCACGATTTTGCCTACCAAGTCCCCAGTGACACCATGTCGGTGAAAGGGAAAAGGTGAATCAAGCCGGGGGCAGCCAGGACAGAGACGGGCTGGACCGGCTGCATTTGCCGGGGTGGCGGCGGGGCAGCGGGGTGCTGGCGGGGTGCAGGGTGCCTGTTCTGGCGGGATGTGGGGTGCTGGGGAGATGTGGGGTGCGGGATAAGGGGCGCTGGTGCCGGCAGGGTGCAGGATGAGGGGTGCCAGTGCTGGTGGGATGAAGGGGATGGGATGAGGGGAACAGGATGCGGGATCTGTGGTGCAGGATGAGGGGTGCCAGTGGGATGTAGGGTGCGGGGTGTCCGTGCTGGTGAGATGTGGGGTGCAGGGTGAGGGACACGGGGTGCGGGATTCGGAGGGATGCAAAGAAACCCCTGGAGACGAGGAGGGGGTTTGTGTGGCCCCGCAGTAACTGCATCACAAACTGCTCTTGGCGTGCCTGGGGGTGGGCTGGCGAGAGGAGAGGCTGCAGGAGCAAGGCTGTGTGCATCGCCCTTCTAAAAGCTGGTGTAAAGCCTTAACTACATTTTCTGAGATTAGTGCCATTAGTTCAGAGAACCTCTTTTCTTTTTCCCTTGGACACAGCGGAGTGTGGGCGCTCCTTCCCTGCCAGCTCGGCAGCCCAGCTTCGCTGCAGAGCTGCTCTGAGCTTCAGGGACGATGGTAAAAACCTCGAGGTACAAACCCAGGAGCCACAACTGAATCTTATTATGGTACCACTGCAAATGATGCAAAACAAAACCCCTGTCCTGGAAAATTAGCTGTTACCACAGATCCATGCAGAAACCTGCCAAGGGGATGCGGATTCCAGTGTGTTTGCTCTTCCAGCCTCCAATGGTTGTCAAGGCTCTGGAGTAAAATACACGGACTCTGGAAAATATCAAGGGGAGGGTTCTCAGGATCAGCACTGAGAAATGTATTGAAAAAAGCTGAGGATTGGAGATGCGGTGTAATGCCACTTAAGAAACAGGTGGCTTTGTGTTTTAAACAAAAAGTGGGGTGTACACCCATGCGATTCTGACCAGCCACATAAAAACTTTGACGCCACCGTTCCCACCAAGGAAGAAACATCGTCGATTCGTCCCCGGGTCCAGGTCAGACTTTCTGCATTCAGATACCCTCGTCTGGGATGGGATCTGCGGGGCCTTTGCGGTCTGCTGGCCCTGGGGCTGGTGTTTGCGCTGCTGCTGGCGGAGCTCTCCCGGCCTCTCCTCCCTCTGCAGCGGCTGCAGCGGCTCTTCCCGCAGCCTGGAGTTTGCTGCTGGGTGCGTGAGACGCAGCTGGTCACAGCGGGCGAGCAGAAGGAAAGTCTGCAGGACGGTTTGCGTCAGTTTACAGGGCCAACGCTTCAGTTCTGACTGATTGTCGCGGGGGTTAAGGCGCGTTACTTCAGAAGTGGTTTTGTGATTAGACTGTCACATAAATTTGAAGAAGCTGGTCGTTTCTTTATCATTATTTTTAAAAATTTATTCCCTGAAAAGGCATCTTGCAAGCATTTTGTTTTCCGGGTATTTGCATGTATCTTTAAAAAATATTAAACGTTAATTAATGTTCTGGGTGTGTATGTCTATGGCTGTGCCCACTATATTTTACAGGATTTGTGTATTTTGATCTTTATACTTTGTTGATGCAGAAAAATCTGTCCTGCTAATGCACAGAGGGTGTTTTACCCCCAGTTCCTATCTCACAAATATTAAAATGTTACTTTCTTTAGTGTTTCAAAGTTCTTTTACTAGTTTCATTAAAGCAGAGTTAAACCCTTTCCATAAAATCACTTTCTACAGTTTAAGAAGTCAGCCCCAATCTCAGCACACATCTTAAATTCTGAGCACTGTATTTCAGCACTGTAAAACCGGATCGTTTATGGAAAGACCAGGCAAAACCTACGCAAATGTTTATTTTTTCTGTCTGAGAGCTGAGCTGTAGTTTCAATTATCGAATTAGTGAAAAATGAGCAGCAGCATGAGCCCACACATGTTTCGGAGAAGTGCCTTTCTCTCAAACGGGTCTGGGCTTTTTTTTCGGATGGAGTTGAAGAACGTGTTGCGGATGGTTTGCTCAGAGCTCACACGCGGCTGCCAGTGGCAGGGCCTCGGGTATTCCTGCATTTCAGGGCAGTTTATTGCTGAAACAACAAGGAGGCCTGACAGTATTTTGTTTCGCTTTGCTGTCTCACAAACACCAAAGTGTTCTTTTCTGACGTTCCGGTGATGTTTGGCTTTAGTCATGAAATCTGAGCGCTAGAGTTGTAATACCTTGGGTTTTGTTACATAACACAGCATGAAAATGAGCCGTCGGGGCGGGCACCCAGTCTGAAAGGGCTGCGGTGTAGCCAGGTGATGATTTGGGGGGGACGTGCAGGCGGATCGGCTGTTCTGATGGGGTGAAGCTGAGCGTGGCACCAGCCCCATGCAGGGTCGAGCTCTGCCCCCCCCTCTGCCCTCCCTCTCATCTGCCCCCAGACACTTATTTTTCTACCTGGGAAATGTATTGTTTAGATGGAAAATGAACCATGAGTGAAAACAAGTATTTTTTCACGAAGTAGTCTCATTCCAACTGAGGTACGTGTGACTTCTATTATAAAATAACGGCTCAGATTAAAATCCAGCACGATGGGCTCAGCTGAATCCTGGTTGGCGTTGGCCCCTGCAGGTTGTCGCGGCTTCGGGGCGATGCAGCAGGAGGAGGTGTCGCCAGCAGCACCTTCAGTGTGTGCGGAACACACGGACACACGTGGCCAGGGGCCGGGGGCCACGGGGACGGGCACCCCCAGAGAGCCCCCAAGATCCCCCGTGGCCTCTCCTGCTCGGCCGGGACGGCTGCGTCTGGCCAACGCGGGCGCATATGGACATGGTAACGCCCGGCCTTCAGGGAGATGCGAGCCGGGGGTGCAGGTTTGCAGGGTGAAGGGTGGGAGTGTCCAGCCAAAAGCAATGGAGGAAATAGGAAAAAAATCTCACCCCGTGGTGGAGCTGCTCCTGCGCTCGCCCACACACCCCCAGGTCAGCTCTCCTCGACGGCAAGTTCATCGCCAGGGCTGCAGCCCGCGTGCTGCCTCCCTCCGAAACGGCCAGCTAGAGCTATGGGAAAAACATATTAAAAAAAAAAAAAAAAAAAAAAAAAAAAAAAAAAAAAGGAGCAGTTGTAATCAACAGGGACAGCTTGCTCGATAAACAGAGCAGGACTCTTCCAGCTGCCAGGTCAGAGAAGGATTAAGAAGATCCAGCTCTCTCTTCTCCCGTGTTCCCCGGCCCTGGCTGCGCGCAGGGAGAGCGGTTCCGCGCCTGCCCTCCTCCAGCTGCGCCAGCCCCTCCGCCCTCCCCAGGCGGGGAGAAACCCGGCCTGCCCGGCGGCGCGGGCAAACCAGCCCCTGGGAGACTGTAGGACAAGGAACTCCTTCCCCGGCCCTCCTTCTGCTCTAGGCATCAGGCAGCATCCCGGAGATGACCTGTTCTCAACATCACTTTGACGGGCCTTTCAATTTTCTTTTCCCATTCTCTCAGCAGCATGTATTGAGGAAATTTGTATCTGTTTGGAAATATTCTTTAAAAGGGCAAATTTTAAAGTCCCCTACAGATATTTGTAAGGAACCTTCACCAAGGCTGAGGTTTGATCTGGGGATGTCACTGGGAGTTTTGTCCTTCAGTTCAGAGAAAGGCAATTTAAATGCACGAGCAGGAAACAAACAAACAAACAAACAAACAAAAAAAAAGGTGATGGACTTGATTCTGTGTAACTGAGCAGGCACTTGGTCTGACTTCATCGGGAGCAGAATGAGATCTCGTTAGGGGCAGGGGGAGATGCTGAAGAGACCTGATCCAGCAAAACACTTCAACACCTTTTTTGTCTTTAAGTATATAAATAATCCCACTGAAATCTAGGAAACACTTACGTGCTTAACGTTAAGTACTCGCTTAAGTGCTTTTCTGGATCAGTACCAAAATGATTATTTATGAAGTGCTGTCAAATACATCAGACACCAAGAAAACACTTTTTCTGATAAAATGCTTTGGCTCAGAATATGCTGTGTGACTGCTCAGAACTGCAGCAAACACCGTTTTTCAGAGACAGGGCACATTCCATTAAAAACTTTCTCTCTGGGTTCACAATTAACAGCTGTTCTTTTGGTTTGTTTCCTGAAAAAAAAAAAAAAAAAAAGGCAACACTAGGTGGTCTTCAAGAACACAAATCTACAGCCATTGAGAGCTCAGGTGTTGCCGTACCCCCGCGGAGACTCCGCCAGGAGCAGAATCAATCCATTTTTGCGATTAGTCTCTAGTGAAGTAAGGCAGATAGCAGTTTAACGGCTTTGCTCCCACTCACTGGAGGCGAGCTGCTGGCAGGACCCGTTAGCCCGTTGCTGACAGCATCATCCCGAGTGTACTGCTTCTTCGGGCTGTCCAGTGCCTGGGACACCCCTGCAGAGACCGGCCTTATTGATGTCCCGTCAGTGTTGAAATAATGATGTCCTTTCCAGACGCAGTAGCCTGTATGGGAAAATTAAGAGCCGTTCTTGCGGTACATTGAAAATAACAGCAAATACTGCAAAAGAACGTAGAGCACGAGCAGCGCCCGGGCAGCACCTGCAGAGGGTGACGAGGCAGGACCGCACATCCATTTCTTCTGCCCCCCGCAGCTTTTCCTCACTGCTGGAGCCTGCTAGTCTTAGATTCCCTAATTTCTGCTACACAGAAGCAACGCGTTTCTTAGAACTAAATATTTTGGCCATTTGTGTCAGTTTGGAGCGCAAACTTTGCCTTGTCTGATCAGACAGACAAGCGGGTTCACATGGGTGAGGTAAGAGGCTTTAAAAATTGCCTTTGCAGATGGGTGCAGAAAATGTTTTCACTTTCATCTGCTTTAACTCTGAACAGTAAGCATGTCTTACATCTCTTGTGGCTCAGCGTGTTGCATCCTTTTGCTTTAGGCCCACAGATTGCTTAACTCTCCCCTGTAGTTCTTGGTGTCCGGCACTCCGCTGCTTTCGCCCTGGAGAGCCCGAAGCTGATGAGCTCCCTGGGGGAGGGTTGCCTGGCTACTGGCCACAGGCGGAGGGTTGCCTGGCCCCACGCCACCGCCCTGGGTGAGGTGTGATCAAGCTTATGGCTCAGCTGAGCGGGAGGATCCTGCTGGCTCCTCCGGCACCCTGCACGCCTCGTCCATCGGGGGGGCATTGATCGGGCACCACCACCTCTGCAGAAGAAAGCACTCGAGGAGATGAGCTCGATCAATTCCTGGCGTGCGGCAGGATCCACAGGCCGGTCCCGGCCCGGGAGCAGCATCAGGCCAGTGCCAGGTTGCTCGGCAACCGGCAGCATCCTCTCGTAGGGAGCGGCAGACCTGCACGGTGGCTTTCAAAGGCCTTTGTTTTGAAACAAACCTCGCTTTAAACACAGGACTAAGCAGATGTCTTAGGTAATGTTTCTGGAACAGTTACAGTCACCTGAAATGTTATTCTTCTCCTTGCCCGAATTCATCCCTGTCACCTCCAAAAATACAACGTATTTTCCTGCTCTTACAAATTGGAGACAGATTTTCAGAACAGGCCTGTCCACACACCTGAATGAAAGGGCTGAAGTGCCCGGCGTGTTTGATCAAACACAATCACCTCCGTGCTGAGAACTTTCAGAAACTTCATTCCTAATGAAACACACATTTGCACCATTTATCAAGTCTTACACAACGCGTTTTGGGCAGAGTTGGAAGCTCCTCAGGAGCTGGGGAGGTAATACATGGGGCTGCGACTTCTAAATTCCCGTAGGAAACGTGGCCCCAGGCAGCACCGCTGCCAGGTCCATGTTCCCAGTGTAGAGCTGGGAGAAGCCTGGGCAACGAGGTATCCTGAGGTGGTACTGCATCAAAAAATGAGAAAAAAACAAGGATGGCCAAGGTCAGTGAGTTCAGGTGCAGGTATAGATAAACTGCCATAAAAAGATGCAATAGATTTTGTCCTGCTATTACTATTGACCTGAAATCACCGTATGGGTAGTGTCGTGTCTCCAAAGCATCTCCAGCGAATTGAACTCAAGAAATCTTGTGGTGCAGGGACCTGAAGTGACCAGGACGGATGTAGCACCATATCCTACCCTTCACAGAGGTGAGAATAACCTCAAGAAAACTCTGAGAGGCTGGATGGATTGATGCTCACCAAGTGTTCCTTTGCAGTACAAGAGTAACCTGCTGGCAAAGCGGGTTTTCAGTGATTTGCCTCCTTCTGCCCTTCTACTAGTGTTGAAAAGTTTTGGGAACGGAGGCAAGGAGAGCTGTCAGCACCCGCAACCCTTCTCTTACCTGTGGGTGGACTGAGCCGAGCACAGAAATGCTACGGAGTGTTGGGCTGTGCCTTGCTCAACCAATAACTGACGCTTATTGACTTTGAAAGTTTACGTAATTGTGTCTGGAACCGTGTTGGCCAAAGCCGCCTCTTCAGAGCTGATTATTGTTCGTCATGCGATGTTCTGAGTACTTTCATAAACTGTTGAAAGTTCATGTGGGGAGTCTTTTTGTGCTTGTAAATCGGCAGATGTCTTGTTTTTCTGAAACATCAAGAAACTGGCAGTTTTACTGATAAAAATGAAAAAAAAATTAAAAGAAAGAACATTTTTGCTGCTGTTACTGTAGCTCCCTAATAAACAAGACAATCTTTAAGCACTTACACATATCTCTATTCTGTTGTTTTTCCGTTTCCCCTGAGGAATCCCTCCTTTTGATATCAAGCCCTATTCTGAAAGCAGAGACTAGAAATGCCATCTCTGTCCAGCTAGGTTTTGAAACCCTGCCCTATCCTCCCTGCAGACTTCACCAGCCCCGTGCCCGCCCCTCTGGCTGGTTACCAGAGTCGAGGTGCAGGTGCCACCCCGGGAGAGGCAGCCCTCACCTGCCATCCCTCTCCCCGCAGGCACAGCAAGCTGCTGCCCTGCCGCCGGCCAAGGGGCGCCCGACGCTGTTGGTCCCGGTTCCTGGGCAGCTGGGAGCCAAGCAGCACATCTTCCTCCTGCCCGGCCTCCTCTCCTCCCCCCGAACCCGGGCCCACGCTGCCCGTCGTTGGCTGGAAGGGGGGTGGTGCGTAAGCCATGCCTTGGTAGCTCTGTTAGTTCCTGCAGAGCGAGACTTTGCTTATTTTGATGAATTTCGTTTCATGTTTTTGATTCCATCTAGACACAGTTGTAACCCTTCAAAAATGCATCGATGCAACGTCATGTTCCAACCTACCCCAAGCCAGCCTGAAATACTAACTTGGTCTTGTTTGTGCCAAATAGGCAACTGCCACCGAGCCACGGGAGAATATTAAACTGTTATGTGATTTTCCTCGCAGTAGTTCAGCACGGGCACGTAACAGAGCCAGTCCCACATATCAACACACACTCGACGTTTCCTTCAAGCTGGTACATTCTGTGATCCCTTGAAGCTCACGCTCCACAGTGTCCATGGGTTTGCTGAAAGTGGAGGCTTTCAGATATGTTAAAAATGTGAGGCCAGCTGCATGGATTTAGAAGAGCTGTCTTGCTGCAGGATGAGTATTGTGCTTTTAAGTCTGCAGCTGAAAGCTAGGAAAAACATCCATGTTACTGAAAACACCGCTTGAAAGGAAAATGGAGTCCCTTGCGTCAGATTCTGTCAGTTGTCTGACAACCTTGTTTATACTATTTTCTGGGAAGCCAAGAGTTTCAACCAATTATTTAGTGCTCCCTTGCTCTTGACGAGTGCTGCTCGCATCAGCTCATCAGGGGCATCTGCCTTTCTGCTCCATTAGACAAAATCCTATTTGGTGTTAACAAAATAAAGTAGAAACGAACAAAATGAGTAGCCTGTTTCAAATCGATTGCCATTATTCAGGTCCTGCCTCACAACTGACCTTTGAGTGCCTTAAATCTGTACTGTCTGCTGAACATGACCTGAGCTGGGTTCCTTGTGGCAATAAAAAATAAAAAACAAAACCAGAAACAATCCCAACCCAAAATGTTTTCAGCCTGGGAGAAACAAGTTTAGAAGAAATGCAAAAAGCGCATGTGCCAAAGACCACAGTAAAGCCAAGAGGTGATTCTCCCCCTTGGTGCCCACAACTTTACCACAGCAAAAGGGAAAGGCGAGTGGCTGTACAAGTTTTGGCAGCCAAGGAACTGAGAGGTAAACCAGCAGGCTGCTCTCCCTCTTCTTCTTTTAGTGGTGGTCAGTCCTTCCTCTTCCCTTTCCGACCTGCCCACAGCAATAGACTCCGCGGCCTCCTTGCCTTCGGGGCGTTGTGCTTTTTGTCAGACAGGAGAGTCCTGCAGCCTAACGGGGCGCCGGCAGCCCAGCTGCCGTCCTCGCACTCGGCGCTGCGCTCACGGGTCAGACGCTGTCGCCCCGCAGGCGCAGAAGCGTGATCACCCTGCTCTGCGTCCGGTGGAGCTTGGAAGGGTCTCCAGCCCTAAAACTCAGTTGTCATAAAACTGGGCTCAAGTGCCATGGGAAAACTGATCTCAACAGCAGTCATGGGGCTGGTTTATGTATAAGTAATGCTGTTAGACCTGGAAACACAAACCCATCTGGTACCAAACCAATGAGCCGCGGGACAGACAATTTGAACTGGCTGGTTTTACTCTCCGGTGTGACTGGTACGCAGAGACAGCAGAGGCCAGGAAGGGACGTCTGAGAATGAGATTTCTGCAAGTCTTTGAGCCTCCACGATCTTCGGGGCTCTGAGGTTTGCGTAAAGCCCAAACCATCTGTACTTTTTGGTGCAATCTGGCCAGGCCTGAAGAATCAGAGACCTGGATCAAAGAAGGAGGAATCGGAGTGTGTAGTAGTGCTGCAGATAAGGTTGAAGTCTTATCCATGATCTTCCTGGGAAAAAGATTTAAGAGCTTAGAAAAACAATGGTCTAAAGGAATCAGTTGTTTTCACCAGTGCGAGAGCAAATATTTAAAATCTCATTGAAAAATCCCAGTGTGTCTCAAAGGTATTGAGTGGGCCAGTGTAGTATTTCCAGTTCATCCTTTTCTCTGCCAAGAAAGTCTATTTTCAACAAACTATCTGCTCTTGTTCCAGACCTCAGTAACAACACTGCAAACCCGTATTAGCTGCCTGTTGCGTAATACGGGACATGTTGCCTCCGTACTCCTATCTATCTATCTATCTATCTATCTATCTATCTATCTATCTATCTATCTATCTATCTTCAAGAAGGTGCCAGGTTCTGCCTCATGTTTACTGACTGATTGCTGCCTTCACTGTGTTGACTAATTTGGCAAAGTCAAATACAATTTCTTATCCAGCTCCATCTTCTCAGCCACGCAAGAACATTTTGCACGCAATCAGTTTCAGGGAACGCTTCCAGTCATTTTTAAGGGTGGGAACCTATTGATTTTGGATGAAATTTTAAATTTGGAGAGGAAAATGGAGGACCAACAGCTGCAGAGACTACGATATAATAGTAAATAAACCCAAAACATGTTGATGAATGAATCACAAACACCCAACAGAGAAAAGAGAACTTCCACGTCAGTCCTGCCCTTCCTTAGCATGGGTAGGGGTTGCTGTGTTGGAAAAGCTCTCTTTTCTAGTAGAAAGAAAAGTCCTTTTCCCCTGTGTAAGGTCACTGGCCTGAAAAACAGAATTCCCTCAGTGAAGGTCCCCAGTGCCCCCAGGCAGGCCAGTCCCTCTGCCTCTGTCAGCAACTCTTCCCCTTGAACCAAACTCCGGGCACAGTCAAGCTGAGGACGAGAGGCCTTCCCCGGGCAAAGCACCACGTCCTGGCCAACCTGCTCGGCGAGTCAGGAGGGCCCAAGGGAGGGTATGAATCCTCCTCAAAACCAGAGTCCCTCGCATTTACGACCATGGTCTTGGGTATCTAATTCAACAGACTAATTTAGAAGCTCTCTGTGTAGAACTTCGACACGCTGACCAGACAACCCATCACGGTGCTGACTGCGGTGTGGTACCGAGCTGCCCAGCTTTCTCCTCTCTTGACAAACACAGCTCCTTTACTTTCTTGACAGTTTCAGAAGGTCCTGTCAGTGCTGCTGGTGTTTGCTTCTTGCATCTGAAGAGGTGAAGGAAGAACAAGGGCAAAAATTTGGTGTCTGTGATGGCTTCCTACATTTGTTGCTCGTTTGGACAAGCTGCTGATAGCTCATGGCCTGTGATTCCTGCCACTAGATCTACCTCAAACCTTGTGGTGGCTAATGAGGCTACTGAGGCTTTTACCCTCACTAGAAGAATGAGGAAACATAGTAATTATAAACGAACTAAAAAATATAAAATCCTTTAGACAGGCTGCCAGCCATCAGGCAGCTAGACAGGTAGCCTGTAGATGTAGACAGATAAACAGACAGGC